AGAATTGCAAAGGTTACGGCAGCTATTGTTGTTGTTTAAGAGTGACGTCGATAAGAGCCCATACTACGCTGCTCGCGTCAATGTGTCGCGCAATGTGTTGTTCTGTACTCTATCGACAACGAGTACGCGTCATCACAATGGTCAAAATTTGTTATGGACTCACGAGGCGCAGCCTCGTGAGTCCACAACATTTTGACCACTGTTATGGCGCGTACTCGTTGTCGATAAGAGTGCAGAGCACGCTAGACCACATTCGATTTGTTAATTAGGCCACAGCCTTGGTTTTCATAATTAAAGGAACCTGGATGAGGAAATTTCAGCTAAATACTTTAAATTGCTTCTAAGGCTGGTTACTTCATTGATATTTCATTCCGCTAATTCTCCACTTTCAAAGCAGCACCATATTTACTGAAAAGCAGCCAGAGAGTAGTTTCATGTTTTCAAGTACCTATTTAATCAACAGCATGGACACACAAGGCAGGGGGCTGGGAACTTATTCCTGATACCCATAATTCTCTGGTTTACGGTTATAACAACTGATCTAAACTGAATTTGTAGATAAATTGTCGGACGAATCATGGCGGAAGTTACTACAAATAATGTCTGGTTCCTCGCAGTTGCTGTTATTTTTCTTCCTCTTACAGGTAAGAATCGTGTTTCTACCTTTGTTAAGTTTGGATTGTAATTTTAAGACTCGACCAGTCTATATATTTGCTTGAGGCACATTCCTTTAAAGTTTAAATTTAAGGAATAGTAAATATGCTGGCGGTAGTTGAAATATAACTTGTCTTAGTTAACTCGCAATCAAGTACTGCCAGATTATGTTTTCGAAGCTCCAGCACAGCATTCAGCAATCTTAGACTGTTAAATTAAGATGAAGACGGTCACAATTTTATCGTTGAAGCTGCTACTACTGTTATTTTAAAATTCATCTTCAAAGCATCAGCGCAGAAGTGTGTCTTGCAGTATTGTGCATATATAACTTTTATCGATGTTTTCCGCTTTCGGTTGATAGATCAATTCAAGTAGCACCACAAGGTGTTGATAAGAGAGACCCTGTGTTAATTAGTTTCTTGTTTGACTGTAAATGTATTTTCGTTTATGCTCTAAGAAGGCGTTCGTGTTGAGGCGCTACGCATGAACAGTTGGCTATTACAGTTTGAGTTCGTCTAGAATGTAAACATTTCTTGTCACGATACATGTATGTCACGCTATGCTCAAAAAATATATATATATTATCGTCCTATTTCTCTGAACATCCTGTTTCGGAAATTTGTTCTTTCAGTTGTTCTAAAGGCACTTAAAACCCTTTCTAGGAGTAGCGAGTAAATTAAAGTAATACGTCTGATGGAGAGCATGGAAAGTATTCTACGAAGTTCGCAGAACACAAAACACGGCTGTTGGTTTTGCTAATTCTGTATTTATTCGTGCGTTCTCATTTTCTTTTGCTCGTTGATTTAATTTGTTTGTTCGATAATTCATTGATAAGCTTAACTATATGCTAATTATAAAAGAATAACACGTCTTTTTTTCGCAATGGCTGTACTACAAGTACTATATTATCCAGTTTTGATTTCTGTATATTAGCAACTCTGTTATAGTGTAATGCGAACTGTTTCTTGGTATAAGGTTACTCCTTAAACCTTCGCGGGGCTGCCTTTGCTAAATTTTCCTTTTTTCAACCAAATTAAAGTTCATTGTTTAAGGTAACATTTTCAGAAAAAAAAAAATGAAAATGAAAATAGAACGACCGCGAGGTATTGGGAAAAAGAGATTTTTAAGGAGTCTGTGATACCCAAAGGCATGGACTCCTCAGCGACCGTTCGCGGCAAACTGCTTAATCCAGAGATCCTATATCAAATACTTCCAATTTTAGATTTCATGTCCATCGAGAGTGCCTCCTTGTAATCACGCTTCGGCAATTGCTCCACAGTTTCGTTTTGTTTTGCTGCACATCGCTTTCTTTCTGTTTTGCCCATTATTGCTAACCACCGACCTAAAACGTGTGGGCCTAAAATGTGAACGTAATACTGTGAACGCTCGGTGCTCTGTTATTTCACTTACAGGAAGCTTCTGAGTTGACATATCCTTCTAAAAAGGGTCGTACAGGGGGTTCTCTGACACGGTTCACGAACAGAAAAAATAGAAGATCACGGAAATAAAATTTCGTTTTTTCGAATCATGAAAATAAGAAAGTAAGACATTTTTCCAAATAACCTTTTCTTGCACTATAGAGAGTGTTTGAAGGGGGCAGAATCGTGAAAGGCTAAGTCAAGGCTCCATATTGCAAATCGCATACCTAAATCACTCTCGATAGACGACTCTAACCATTCGGAGGACTCACGCCTCAAAATCACGGAGAAAAGAGTAGTAAAATCACCATGATCAATTCAAGTTTTTCACGGGTCACGGAAAATCTTCAGGTCACGGATCACGAAGAATAATTTCCTAAATTCAAATTTCACGGCAAATAAAATCAGCTAATCACGCATCACGAGAATACCCCTGAAAAGACGTGACCATAGGCGGCCCACAGGTTGAATACGATTAATACGTGACATTATGCTGTTGGTGATAACGTTACAATGTTAGCCGTTTGTAAGACAATGTATGAGAATACTTCGAAAATTGCTCTAAATGCTACGGGTAGAAAGTAGTTTAAGATGATTTCCGCAGAACATTCGAGCAATAATGGCAAAAATAAAGTTACCAAAAAACCTCATAGCATGGTAATATTTTGAATAAAGGTAAAAAGAACTTATGGAGACTTAAAGTCTCAAGCTGACCCCGGGAAAAATAAATGAACTTGAAATTATCCATATTTCAATTAAAACGGACGTTTTGGTGTTAGTTGAAAACATAATAACACACGCATGAAGCATTCTTACGAGGTTGGACATTTGCTTGAACTCTGAACGGAATCCGTCTTAAATAAACGTGGCATACCTTATGTTTGTATTGCGTTTTTTTTTATGTCTCTGAGTTCCTGGAGGCGGTTTAGAGCCATTTGGATATGATTGGTCAAATACTGTCACGCCTGAGCTTACCCTTACTAAAATGCCATGTTGTTTTCTTTTGAAAATTAATCGATAGTTCAGAAAAGTTAAAGCGCATAAAAATTGGCCGCAGAATTTGTAAAGGATACTCATACTAATGTTCTGACGGTTTTCCCGGAGAATAATCGAGCGTGTCATCTTTGAGCCTAGCTTTCAAAATGTAGTTTAGAAAATCCAGGACACAAAATAAATTTCTGAGTAATATTTAACTTTTTTAGCGACTTCAGTAACATGGACAGCACCTCCTCCTCAGTGGACTCAGACGAATCCAAATGTCATTAGAACGGTCAACATGTCAGTGTTGAAAGGGAGTACTCAGGTGGCTTTGAGGTGGAGTTACACTCTGTCATCTGGCTCCCTGGTATCAACTACATTTTCTATAAGATTGAATGATGGCAGCTTCGATGATATTGGAACGATATCTGGTGGTAATCCTATAGCATTTGACAAAAATGATTACCGAACACGTTTTGATATCAGTAGAAGTGAACAGGCCACCTTGATAATAAACAGAGTCACTCAAACAGAAGAAACTACCTTCCAGTGCAAGCTTACAACGGACTCAAACGTATGGAGTTACAGAATACGAGTCATTGTAGCAGGTGAGCATTGTAATGTATATTTAAACAATAACCTCCATTTGGCGCGATAATATGCTAGGATATTTGTCCGCGGACATTATCTGTTTCGAGAAGCGAACAGTGAGAAAACTGTGAGCTTCGAGGAACAGATAATGTCCAAGGTCAAATATCCGAGCATATTTTCGCCCCAAATGGAGGCTATTGTGTTTATCATTCTTCAAATCTTTTTCGCAACGCGCGCAGTTTTGAAAATTAGGGAATATTCTCGGATATTCCCCAGTTTTAGCTAGGGAATATTCGGTCACGTGACGTGTTTAGACCAATCACGCGCGAGCGAAAATATTTGATGGGTTATAATACGTTATATTGTACCAATCTGTGAAGAAGAATTTACTTTTCAGTGCAAGCCTCAAGCAGTTTTAACATTGTCATGTGAATATTCGAGTCAGCTAAGAATAGGCCACATTCGATATGTCAACATTCTAACATGACTCCGAGTCTTTCGGGTCAAAACTGTAAAATTTTTTAATTTCTTTTGTCTCTCAATTCCCAAATTATCCACCACTAGCCACCTCCACTGCGGGGAATAACTGTTACAAATCCGAACCACTCTCCTATTGAGGGCCATCAGTTATTTATAACCCCTCAAAAACTCTTAAAATACTGCATGGTTTCGGAGAGGGGTTCAGAATTAAATAGGAGTCACTCCAAATAAACCCATCATACAACCATTGTTCATCTGCCTTCGCTCTGTCACCGAAGACAATCTTTGATTTACTTTCTGGTTCTCTGAAGAATTCTTCAAATTTGCACCTTAGTATATAATGAATTGGAAGGCGCGGTGCCTCATGGTTAGTGCTCTCGTCTCCGGATCGAGCGGTCCGGGCTTGAGCCCTGGCCTGAAACATATATTGTGTTGTGTTCTTAGGTAACACTCTTTACTCTCACAGTACCTCTCTCCACCCAGGTTTGTAAATAGGTTCCGTCAAACTTAATGCTGGGAGTAACCCTGCCCCATGGACTATCATCCCATTCAGATGGAAGTAGAAATACTCCTAGTCGCTTCATCCTACAGAAAACGGGATAATCTCCGGCATGATAGGCCACTTAGCTCGTATGCAGACTTTACCTTACCTATCTACCTACCTACCTACCTACCTACCTACCAAATGAAGAATTCCTTGAAGTTATGCTTATATTTCTGAAGACTTCCCATAGTCCTTAACAGCTAGGAAGAATTTTTTTTTTCATGGAGCTGGTAGCCATTGGCACGCATAACATCAATAAGCAAACAGCAATTAGGCCAGGAACTGCTCTTTCTCAGTCTTGCTAACGTCCTCCTCAGCCTTTCTCTAGAACTCTTTGGATTTACTTATTGTAGGAAGTTAGCAACCCTTTCCGTGGGTCTATGAACTTTATGTTTTAATATATTAATTGTCACAATGCTCAGTACCTTTGAAGCTGCTCAAATATTTGCTCTGCATTAGTTCCCTGCAGGAGGGAGGGGGCGTCTCCAAGCAAAACATTGGTAGAATTATCACTGCCAGTGTGACGTCACGTTTCGCTTGGATGAAATTCAAAATGGCGCCCAATGGGTGAAGTACAAGAGGTTGATAAAAATGCGGAATTTCGCTCCGATATTCTGTCCCATTTTCTTAGGTTCTTTAATATGTGGTTTATATTACATTGAGGAATCTTTATTTGGTAGTTTTTGGTGGCCACAATATTCAAAAGGTAGATAATTTGATCGAGAACTTTCTGTTTTGAAGCCTATTTGTTGTCGAGCAAAACTGTAAGCTGGTTGACCTTTCGAGGGCCACTGCATAGCGAAGCAGAGCCATTTTGACCCAAGAAT